TCCGACAGGGACCTGTGGGGTGAGGATCTGTGAGCGTACTAACGGTTGAAAACGAACATCAACGTTTCAAAAGGACGTTAAGGACGTAAAAATACTTCACTTAAAGCACATCAGCTACGTTAGTGTAACACTTGCACATGGGTTACAAGGTCTCGGTAGGAGAAAGAGTTTACAAACTCGGTCAACAAAAATATGGCACCTGTATGACGTCATCAAAGAAACAGAGAAAATGGAGGACGTTTCCACTGGGAGACTTGGAAGGTTTTGTGGACGTGTAGCGTAATATGAATCATTAGGTTTTAACAGGCTAGCCATCATTACGATCATGACACTGGTAGTTGTAGCATTAGTTAACATGACAAATTTTGTGACAAGTGGTACCGGTATGGCCAGCATAAGGACAGAACCAGACAATGTGAAGCAGACGTGGCTAGAATTAGGCTAGGATACAGACACATCTGGCAAGTTAGTGACGCTGTACCCATACTGGAACACACGTCATGTAAACTTTGTGATAAACCTTTAAAGTATACACTGGAACATTTTATTATTGAATATGACACTGTCAATGACTTCAGGCCATCCGGCTTGTTGTATCATGGACTTTGTAATTACAAGTATTACATTGAATCAGGGGTGCTTGAGGACATTCTTGCTGTTTATCCAAAATTGCTCGCCCACACTGATTAGTCCTCAATTAGAATATGACTTCTAATGTATATGAACCATTGTCCTGCATGGCAGTGAACAGTGATGTCACCCACATGACTCGTATATACTGTTAATGAATATGATCTATTTCTTTGTGTATGAACTTCTGTCCTGCGTGGTAGTGAGAAGTGATACCACCCTCAGTGTCCAGACCTGACTGAATTACTCAGAATAAGCAAACTGTAGTCCAAGCTTTGTCAATAAATTTGTTAACCGAAAGACTCTCTCTCTCTCTCTCTCTCTCTCTCTCTCTCTCTCTCTCTCTCTCTCTCTCTCTCTGTATTAAGACTATCCCCTTCTAGAAGACGGTATAGCCAGACTCCTGTTCTGTGAGGTGACCCTCTGTTGAGAGCTGGGACTCACTAATGGCTTCTATGTCGTTGTTATACCTAGCCAGCTCTTTTGCCACAAGGGCGGTTCTTCTATCAGGATGTTTATTTGTGCCAGTATCCAGAAGGGTCCTGACATTCCATGCACCGACCGTAAGAGGTTGTATAATTTGTTTTTGCTTTGATCTGTAATTATGTTTTCGACTGCAATAGGATGACCTTACTGGGTGCGGTTGCTCAGTCAGGTTGGTTCTTCAGGCAGGCTATGTTTAGAGCACCCTTTCTAGCCCCCTCCCCATGTGGAGTGACCAGAGTGGCCCTGGAAAAGGCTGCTCAGTCGCACAGACAAGACTGGATTGCACTGCTGCCTAGATCCCAGTGCATAAACAACCATTTTATGTGTTAAGTTGTGACTAGAGACTGCCAGCAGTCCTCTCTGCCTTTCCCCATCGCCACTCGCCTGTCGTCATAGGACTTTTGGGGGTTTTGGGGTTTTGATGATGATGAAAACTCAGTGCTGGATTTACAAAGGGGCCATTGGGGCCATGGCCCCGGGCCCTGAAGATACAAGGGGCCTTTTAAAAAAATAATGTATTATAAAAATTTTATATTTCATCATAATTTGGTGTACAAAAGCTATGGTGACCCTTGTGACCCCTCTAGGCTCAGTCTTATATTTTGATATCTATCATTATGAATAATGCCAATTACGCAAATATTGAAATGTAAACGAACACTGAATGTCTTATTCAATTTAAGTGTCATGATCTATGATTGTGTGTGGGGTGTTTACCTTAAGAAAGACAAAAGGCAACATGGTAGTTGGTGTGTACTACCACATGGTTATAGAAATTGATTGAAACTGTTCCAAATTGGCAGGGTTTTTTTAAATATCTGACAGCAAAGGCCTCCCTAGCTGATTATATTATGATAATTGAGTGCGAAATTCGGATATATCCGAACTGACAATTATAGCCCTAAAATGCGACATTTAGATTTACCATACGGCCTGTTGTGAGATTCGTAAAGTATACCCCTTCTTCACTCACACCCAATTTTTTGGCCTCTCAAGGCATTGACATCGGAAACTGTCGTAGTCGGCCAATATGAGTGGGAAGTAGCAAGGTGTGCAGGCATTGATCAAAAGAGAATGCAAGTATGCTGATTATGTCCCCTGTGCTGCACGTTCACTCACGCCCGTTGGAGAGGTAGCAGCTCCCTGTTGTATTGAAGCTGTTAATCTCTTCTCATTTGTAAATGAGCTTTACACTTTCTTATCTGGATCCACAAGCAGATGGAAATTGTTGACCGATAAAGTGGCTCCACTGGGCCTGAGTGTAGTAAAGCAATTCTCAAATACTCACTGGTCAGCCTGACATGATGTAGTCAATGCAGTCTTGAAAGGCTACAATGTTATCAAATGATGTGTGTCAACAATAGAAGAAGACAGAAACCTGACACAAGGCCATAGTTGGCAGTCTTGTGAAAAATGGACAAGTTAGAATTTACCCTACTTTTGTGTTTCTGGGGAACTGTTCTAGAACGGTTTCAAGCAACTAACATCAGTATGAAGAAAGAGGGTACAACTCTAAGCACCACTGTGAAGCTCTACAAACCACTCAATCATTTTGTTGAAGAGGAGAGATTCAAGTTTGGAGAGTACGAAGCAAGAAGAAAGACAATGTGTAGTGGAGGAGAGAATACAGAATATACTGGAAAGCTGAGGCGACAGTGATTTGCAGAAGGAACATAAGAAAGTAATCCCAGATCATTGAGGGAGAAATTCAGGCAACAGTTCTTCCTCATTGTGGTCAACCTTGTCAGTGCTCTTTATAGGAGGTCACAGGCTTATGAAGTTCGGTTTGTTATCAGATTAAGGTAATCTGTCAAGTGCTCAGGATAAGCTGGTTCAGTTGTCTGGACTTCATTGAGATCCAGATATTTTCCTTGATGAATCTGCCAAGGATCATAACCAAGAGCTGTATAACGATTTGTTTCTTTTAGTAACAGATGTAACTGTATGCCACAGTAACGGGGAGAACATAATGTCTCTACCTTTACCAACTGTGTATCTGTTGAGGTGCCTGTTACCGTGAATATAACAGTTACTTTTGAAATTGTCATATATATATAACGACCTTCTTGGGTTGTCACCACTTGTAACAATCACTTGTGAATCACGTTACCTTATATTCTAGACATACTAAAATATAGATCAAAGTTTATTGGATCTTCCGTAGTAAAATCCAATATGTTGCTTTGTTTGTATGTATTATAAAAGGTTTCTATGTGCACTTTCAAAAAGGATTATCACCGTAACTTAATCACTGTAGTAATGAGCGTTAACTGAGAACACTATCTTATATAGCTCTGGTAAGTACGTCCTATCGATGATGAGATAGTTGAGTGAGAATGAGTAGGAACCCATCGAGGGAAGAACGGAAATATATCCAACGTCCTCCCTCGAGGGAAGACGGAACCATCCACGATGGCTCTCAATAACGTCTTCCTCTAGTCAGAGTTATCAAACTACTGCCCGCAATAGGTGGCCAGAGAACCGGTTACTTAATCCTTAACTCAGCACTAAGTGACGCGACTTCCCGTGGGCACACCTTATCACATGCTCTGAACATGCAACCTCATAGCTAGTGGAAAGTTACAGAGGGTGATAAAGTATATAAGTCTAATGTAATTAACCCATTTATATAAATACTTCTGCCTATAAGACAGGGGCTAATACAGCTGTTCAGGTTCACTTTTATTTAACCTATGGTAGATACCCTCGTTAATGTGAACATTCTACTCAAAATATATCTTTTGCATGCTGTGCACAAATTGTGCAGGTTACAGCTCATTCTCAAAACTGAAACATAAAAAATGGACTGAGAAACTCTATCTGCCAAGACAGACTGAACAAGTTGAGCTTATTTTGATTGAACATGAGCTGTTGAGCTCCTTGGACACTGGAAGTATTACTGTATCAGAAAGTTTAGCATAGCCAAAGTTAGGAAGACGAACATTTAATTGTGTGTAAAATGTATGAACAATAATGTTTAGGAACCTTGTTTATAAATTGTTGCTTTAATACTTTTGTGGGAATAAAATAAAATAGTAACAAAGTGTAAGTGGTGTCATAATTTAAAAAAACTAATTATAAAACTCAACCCTGACCTGAGCCATGGACTAAGTTGAGTACCAGCCTGCCAGGAAGACTCGTTTTTTTTTTTTTTTTTATGGGGAGGGGGGAGGGGGCTTTCACAGTCGATGGCCCCAGGCCCTGCCAAGTCTAAATCCGGCACTCTGAAAATTAGGATGAGTTGGATGATGGCTGAGCGTGAGATGATTTATGTGGTGAGGCAGTTGCACAGGCTGCAACCACACATCTTGGTTCTCCCTTTTCCTGATCCAGTGTTGCAGTGATTGGGGAGAGGGAGAGTTGCAATAAACTGCCAATAGCCCAGTTTGTTGGGTTTCACCTTAGTATCCTGTCCATCTTGCATTGCTTTCATCTGCTGGTGTAGTCGTTGGGTTCTCATGTTGGTCACCTCTTCCGCCTATTCTGCCGTTGGAGTCTTACTGGAACTCAATAAGCATGTCTGCCTGATGCGGGGCTCCACCACAGATTTTTCCTTCGGGGTTTACTGCCGTAGACTTATACCTACCAAGGTTAATCTGCAAAAAACACACACACACACACAGAAACTTCCATATATATATATATATATATATATATATATATATATATATATATATATATATATATATATATATATATATATATATATATATATATATATATATATATATATATAATTATTTTTCCTGAACTCTGAGTAGGTATCGTCTTCTGCCACCCCCCTTTTTTAGTATGTGTGTAAAACAGTATCATTATATTAATCCTTGTACATAGACAGATAACATGCTGTTTTGACGTGGACATATTTTATCCCCCTTGTCCAGCTTTGAGAGCTCGTGCTCCTTCACGCTGCTGCAGGACTCCACCCAAGGCACCTTTACTGTCAACCTGCATAATGCTGATGGTTGTAAAGGACAAATGTGCCAGAAAGTTATTCAAATCTTCTTGGAGGATGACGAATATATTCTTCAGGCCACTGGTAAGTCTTGTTGTCAGTCTGGTTCTTATTGGCCTGTAAAAGGAATAAACTCTAATTTTCAAATTTATGCATTACATTTGAGTATATTATCGAGCTGTCATTTATGAATATGTTCTATAATGTATGCTACTGATATATCCCACATTAGTTCTTTGTCATGTGGTATAAGTAAATGTAATTAAAACACAATTAGATCATATTTATTAGATTTAGATCTATCTATCTAACAATTGTTAACATCTCTATTTTTCTCAGTTCTACTTTAATTTAAGAAACGTGATCCTAAAATGTTACGTATAAGTATTGTTCTAGTGTACGGGTCAGAAGTGTGGCCATCTCCCCCGCCCTCCCATTGACCTCCCTCCTCCCCCACCCTCCCCTGGACATTATTCCTCCCTCTGCCCTCCTCTTGATCCCCTTCCTCTCCTCACCCTCCCCTGGACATCTTTCCTCCCCCCGTCCTCCTCTGGACATCCCTACTCCCCCACCTCCTCCTATTGACCTCCCCCTCCCCTGCCCTCCTATTGACCTCCTTCCTCCCCCCTGCCATCCCCTGGACATCTTTCGTCCCCCCTGGACATCTTGTCCCTCCCCCTGACATCTTCCTCCCCGCCCACCCCTGACCATCTTTCCTCTCCCCGCCTTCCCCTGACCATCTTTCCTCCCCCCTGCCCTCCCCAGGACATCTTTCCTCCCCTGCCTCCCTCCCTTCCTGCCTTTCATCCCCCTCCCCCATCTCAGGGCCAGCTATCAGCCTCCCCCTCCCTCTCTCCCCAGCCTACCCTTCATCCCCCCTCCCTGCTTCCCCTGGATATTCTCCATCCCCTTCTTCCTCCCCTGCCTACGCTTCATCCTTCCTTCCCTCCCTCCCTCCTTGCTTTCCCTGACAATCCTCCATCTTCCTTTTCCTCCGCTTGCCTTGACGCTCTACAAAATCTCATCCTCACAGAGTCAGGACGGCCGAGCCTGTCAAACCGGAACACCAACCTGGCGATCCCTGGGCAGATTAACGGCATTTTTGTGCAACGAGTGGCGCACTTTGTGGTGATCAAGCTATGGGGCCTCGGCCTCACCCTCAAGTGGGACATGAAGGTAATACTCGACAATGTGTTTTGTGGATCCTCGTGTGTGGGGGTCATAGTGTGCGGGAGTACCTGTATGTGGGGGACAAAGTGTGCGGGGTTACCTGTGTGTGGCGTCCTATTGTGTGGGGTACATAGTGTGCGGGGGGGTACCTGTGTGTGGCGTCCTAGTGTGTGGGGGTCATAGTGTGCTGGACCCCCTGTGTATTGGGATCATAATTTATGGGGCCCCCTGTGTGTGTGGTTCTACTGTGTGGGGGTCACAGTCTGTGGGCCCTGTGTGTGTGTGGTCGTAATTGTGGGGGCCTTTGTGTGTGGAGTCCTAGTATGTGGTGGTCATAATGGGTGGGGTCCCCGGTGTGTGGGAATCATAATGTGTGGGGATCCCTGTGTGTGGTGTCCTAGTGTGTGGGTCATAATGTGTGGGGGTCATAATGTGTGGGGGGCCCCTGTGTATAGGGGTCATGTGTGGGGGCCCCTGTGCGTGGCTTCCTAGTGTGTGGGGGTAATAAAGGTGTGGGGGCCCTGTGTGTGGTGTCTAGTGGGGTCATAATGTGGGAGCCCCTGTGTGTGGGGGTCCCTCAGGTGTGTGGGGGTCCTAATGTATTAATGGGGTGTGTGGGGGGTATAATGTGTGTGGGTGTGGGGGGTTCATAATGTGTGTGTGTGGGGTCATAATGTGTGGGGTGTGGGGTAATGTGTGGGGTCATAATGTGTGTGGGGTCATATGGGGGTCATAATGTGGGGTCTAGTGTGGGGTCTATGTGAGGGGGTCCTAGTGTGGAGGAGATGTGGGACCCCTGTATGTGGGGGTCATAATATGTGTGGGGTCTAGTGTATGGGGGTCATAATGTGCATGGGGTCCTAGTGTGTGTGGGGGTCATAATGTGTGTGGAGTCCTAGTGTGTGGGAGTAATAATGTGTGGGGGCTCCTTTGTGTGAGGTCCTAGTGTGTGGGGATCATAATGTGTGGGGCCCCCTATGTGTGGTGTCCTAGTGTGTGGGTCATAATGTGTGTGTGGCATCCTAGTGTGTGGGGCACCCTGTGTGGGGGGACCCTGTGTGTGGGGGTCATAGTGTGCTGGACCCCCTGTGTATTGGGATCATAATTTATGGGGCCCCCTGTGTGTGTGGTTCTACTGTGTGGGGGTCACAGTCTGTGGGCCCTGTGTGTGTGTGGTCGTAATTGTGGGGGCCTTTGTGTGTGGAGTCCTAGTATGTGGTGGTCATAATGGGTGGGGTCCCCGGTGTGTGGGAATCATAATGTGTGGGGATCCCTGTGTGTGGTGTCCTAGTGTGTGGGTCATAATGTGTGGGGGTCATAATGTGTGGGGGGCCCCTGTGTATAGGGGTCATGTGTGGGGGCCCCTGTGCGTGGCTTCCCTAGTGTGTGGGGGTAATAGGTGGGGGCCCCCTGTGTGTGGTGTCTAGTGGGGGTCATCTGTGGGGCCTGATAGCAGGGGTCCCTGTGTGTGGGGTCATAAATGTGTTGGGTCTCAGTATGGGGTCCCTAATGTGTGTGGGGTCCCTAGTGGGATCATAATGTGTGGGGGTCATAGTGTATGGGGGTCATAATGTGTGTGGGGTCCTAGTGTGGGGGTCATAATGTGGGGTCTGTGTGGGGGATCATAATGTGTGGGGTGTGTGGGGGTCATAATGTGTGTGGGGTCTCATGTGGGGGTCATAATGTGTGTGTGGGGTCCTAGTGTGTGGGGTCCTGTAATGTGTGTGGGGTCCGGGGTGGGTCATAATGTGTGGGGAGCCCCTGCATGTGGGGGGTGTGGGGGTATGTGGGGTCCTAGTGTATGGGGGTCATAACGTGTATGGGGTCCCTAGTGTGTGTGGGGTCATAATGTGTGTGAGTCCTAGTGTGTGGGGAATGTAATGTGGGGGCCTTTGTGCAGGTCCTAGTGTGTGATCATAATGTGTGGGGCCCCTATGCGTGGTGTCTCCTAGTGTGTGGGTCATAATGTGTGTGTGGCATCCTAGTGTGTGTGGGGCACCCTGTGTGGGGACCCTGTGTGGGGGATGTCATAGTGTGGGGCCTCCTGTGTGTGTGCATCATCTGTGTGGGGTCATAATGTGTGGCTGGCCCTTTGTTTGGCGTCCTAGTGTGTGGGGTCGTAATGTGGGGATCCCTGTGTGAAGTCACAGTGTGAAATAATGTGTGGGAGTAATAATGTGGGGGCCCCTTTTGTGTGAGGTCCTAGTGTGTGTGGGGGTCATAATGTGTGGGGTCTAGTGTGTGAAGACTAATAATGTGTGGGGCCCCTATGTGTGTGGGGTCCTAGTGTGGGGGTCATAATGTGTGGGGACCCTTGTGTATGGGGGGGTCATAACGTGTGGGAGGCCCTCAGGGGTCCCCTAGTGTGTGGGGGGGTCATAATGTGTGGAAGCCCTGTGTGGGGTCATAATGTGTGTGGGGTTCTGTGTGAGGTCATAATGTGGGGGTTTCTGTGTGTGAAGAGCATGTGTGGGGTCTTCTGTGTGTGGGGGTCTAAGTGTGTGGGTTCCTGTTCTCAGTGTGTGGGGATCATAATGTGTGGGAGGCCCTGTGTGTGGCGTCCTAGTGTGGGGGTCATAATGTGGGGGCCCTGTGTGGGGTCTCTAGTGTTCGGAGTCATAATGTGTAGAGGGTCCTAGTGTGTGGGGGCTCATAATGTGTGGGAGGCCCTGTGTGTGAGGTCCTAGTGTGTGGGGATCATGATGTGTGGGAGGCCCTATGTGTGGGGTCCCTAGTGTGTGTGGGGAATATTGTGGGGTCCACTGTGTGTGGGAGCCACTGTGTGGGGTCCTAATGTGTGGAGTTAATGTGTGGGGACCCGTGTGTAGGGTCTTAGTGTGTGGGGGTCATAATGTGTGGGGGCCACTGTGTGTGGGGTGCTAATGTGTGGGGGTCATAATGGGTGGGGACCCCTGTGTGTGGGGTCCTAGTGTGTGGGAGTTATAATGTTGGGGGGGGATCACATAACGTACTTGGAGGTGAGTTAAGAAAATTGTATGAGTGTAACGTCAATTTGTAGTTATTGACATTGAGCGATAGTCATGACATCTCGTGGTAGTGTTCATAGTTCTTGACAAAAGTCCGTTGATGTAATTGTATCGTGATATTTCACCGTCGCCTCAGGGTCTATGGTATTAATCTTAGTCTCTTGGGTCACAGAACCTGGTGGAGGCAGAGGTCAGTGAGGTCTTGTGGAACAGGACGTCAGGGCTGTGTGGTCGACTTGATGGCAACATGGACAATGACTGGAGCTATCCTGATGGTACTCTGGTGACCAACATGAACTCTTTTCTACAAGTCTGGCAGGCCAAGACCCTCGGTGGTTAGTGCTCATATATTTATTGTTACTTTATAAAAGTCTGATAATTAGTGAGATCTGTTGAATATATACGATGTCATTTTAGCTGCTTTCTTATCTAAATGCAGATTGTTTTCCCTGTAAGTCCACATAATTTTGTTTTTATAATTTTCGCTACTTATCAGGTTACTAACCTTTTGGGCGGCTGATCTATCCAGTGTTAGTACAAAGGGAAACCGGGGACCTATGATGTTTGGTGGGATCATACTTCTTACTTCTTACGTGTGTGTGTGTTTGTGGGCCAAGACTCGAACACTTATCATATTAGTGAGAGTTATGCTCGTTACCGCTGTACAGAGTACCACTAACCTCCTAAAATTTAGAGAAAAGTTAGTCAAGGATGCATGAAATGTAACATTTATATAGCAAAATGTGTTACAAACTTTTTTGTCCCCACAGATGTGTGTCTGGAACAGCCTAAGATGAAGCACCCATGTAAGGCTCAAGCTCGAGATGCAAATGAATTCTGTTCTCGCCTGCAGTATGACCTGAAGTTTGTCTTTTGCCGCCAGGTAAAGTTCCTCCGCTTACTGCAACCTTTGATGGTCATTTGAAACCCCCAGGTGGTGGTACAGGTGAACTAGAGCACCTTGGTACTGTACCTGTAGCTCCCAGGTGGTGGTACAGGTGAACTAGAGAACCTTGGTACTGTACCTGTAGCCTCCAGGTGGTGGTACAGGTGAACTAGAGCACCTTGGTACTGTATCTGTAGCCCCCAGGTGGTGGTACAGGTGAACTAGAGCACCTTGGTACTGTATCTGTAGCCCCCAGGTGGTGGTACAGGTGAACTAGAGCACCTTGGTACTGTACCTGTAACCTCCAGGTGGTGGTACAGGTGAACTAGAGCACCTTGGTACTGTACCTGTAGCCCCCAGGTGGTGGTACAGGTGAACTAGAGCACCTTGGTACTGTATCTGTAGCCCCCAGGTGGTGGTACAGGTGAACTAGAGCACCTTGGTACTGTACCTGTAACCTCCAGGTGGTGGTACAGGTGAACTAGAGCACCTTGGTACTGTATCTGTAGCCCCCTGGTGGTGGTACAGTGAACTGGAACACCTTCGTACTGTACCTGTAACCTCCAGGTGGTGGTACAGGTGAACTAGAGCACCTTGGTACTGTATCTGTAGCCCCCTGGTGGTGGTACAGTGAACTGGAACACCTTCGTACTGTACCTGTAACCTCCAGGTGGTGGTACAGGTGAACTAGAGCACCTTGGTACTGTATCTGTAGCCCCCTGGTGGTGGTACAGTGAACTGGAACACCTTCGTACTGTACCTGTAACCTCCAGGTGGTGGTACAGGTGAACTAGAGCACCTTGGTACTGTATCTGTAGCCCCCTGGTGGTGGTACAGTGAACTGGAACACCTTCGTACTGTACCTGTAACCTCCAGGTGGTGGTACAGGTGAACTAGAGCACCTTGGTACTGTATCTGTAGCCCCCTGGTGGTGGTACAGTGAACTGGAACACCTTCGTACTGTACCTGTAACCCTCAGTGTGACGAGGTGAGAGCTACATACGTCGTTGACATACGTCCACTTACCAATAAGGACAAGAAGCTGTAAGACGACCAACAACCACAGTAAACATTTTCTTCACTTTAACAATAAGTGTTGTCACAGCCCTTGGTTGACGGTGGTGATGGTCACAGCTTTCCTATACTTGCAGTTATACGTATGTAAGACACTGATCATGTTGTGTGATGCTGACAGGTGGTGGATGTGGAGCCGTACATCAACGCCTGCCGCTGGGACTACTGTGACTGTGACTCCCAGGACCGTGAGGCGTGTGCCTGTGAATCCTTCGCCGCTTTCTACAGGGAATGTGCCAGCGTCGGGGGTGACATTCCCGGCGGCTGGCGCTCACAGGACCTCTGCCGTAAGTTAAAATCTCATTAAGGTACTTCGTGTTATGCTAACCAAGTTACATAAGAATATATTGTTTTGTACATTATATTCAGGACTATGCAAAGTGTATTCTCTATCACCTTTCACTTTTTATCGCCGAGTTAAAATACTCGTCTTCACTTTATTCTACAACATGTTCCCAAGCTGTTTCCAAATGTAAAAAAAATGAACGTCGATTTAAGTTTCTCTTCATATTAATTAATTTCACCAGCCCTGTCCCATCCCAAAGATCAACTGCAGTGCTCTCCACGATATTATGATTATGTTCGCTGCAAGTTGAAGCACATTTTATTTCTGGTCCCTTTGTCGCTCCACTGTTCTCTTCACATTTCCCCCTCCCCTTTAGAAATTATATTTTACGGGACAGGTTATTTTCATAACGTGTGTGATAATCACATTATATGACAAAAATTGAGAATAGATAAGAAAAAAAATTACTTGAGCAGATAAACTACCAATTAAGTTCTGTTGGTATATCCTGTACTGCCCTTTGAGTCACATCATATAAAGTTATACTCTCCCTTTCCCAGTTCTTTGCTTAAGGATTGTTACTTCTCTTACTATAAAATACTTAACATTACAAAAAAATTTTGACGGGTAATCTTTTCTCTCTGCCCTCTTATGTTTTGACCCCTCGTTTCATACATCATCGTAAATATTCTATATTTTCTCCAATTTTGCTAAATTAAAAAATGCTTTATATCAGTGTTCACTTCTGCAATATGTCTGTTATAACAGTATTTACCAATGTTTGCTTACAGAAAGTGATACAAAGGCTGTCCATTCCTAGAAATATGATCTGAAACCACAGCCCCACCCAATCTCAATAAATAAAAGGCCTTTTTTTTTCCTGACCAAATTGAAGTTCATTCTTCTCATGTACCACTGTAGCACAATGTGGTACCAACCAGGGGTACCTAAGTTTACACGACTCAGTTGCACCTTGAGAGCGTCTTCCTAATAATACCTATCACTGGATCCACTCCTGTCCTTTAAGATCTTATTTCATCCCAAGTTTTTCACTGCATAAATAGACTGTCTGGGATTTGGAATAGTGATTTACACATGCACATAGGTGGTAGGGCAGAAGATCCCATGGTAATGCCTGATCGTAAAAATACGAGGACCTACTCCATCGCAGCTAATAAAACACGGCTACACTATGATATCAAATACCAAAACAAATTAATTATGATTGTTGTTTATTTAAAAATAATTAGAGTAGTTTGTGCTGAGGATACCCTGATATAAGTCTTCACAATGGGATTATAAAATTACACGCTGTCACTAACCGGTCATGGCGTCTGATGTCGTAGACGCTCACCATGTTACATATTATTAATCTGAAACATAAGAACTTAAGAAAATAAGGAGTCTGCAATAGATCGGTTGGCCTGTGCATGGCAGCTCCTGTCGAGAGTTACTACCACTCTATCATCCATGAATCTATCTAGCCTCCTTTTAAAACTTCCCAGCGTTCCAGCACTTACTACAAAGTTGCTAAGCTTGTTCCACTCGTCCACCACCCTATTTGTGAACCAGTTTCTTCCTATCTCCCTCCTAAACCTAAACTTATCCAACTTGAATCCGTTGCTCCGAGTCCTATCCTGCTCGGATACTATAAGAACTTTAATAAGCACAGATTAGTACAGTAATGTATCTGTACTAATTAATGAAAAACAAATAAACAATATTATATCATGAATGAGTCAGTACAGTAGACAAACAGTGAGACGACCCTTGTGGAAGGGGGGTGGCCCAGTCACTCCCCAGCCCCCCACGGAGGATATATTAACGCTTATAAAAATTTCTGACTTGACTTACGATAATATAACTTGTATTGCTGAAATTCTTGTAAGATAGTGATTAATTGGAGTACAGTAAGTCCTAGTATAACGTCGCCCCGCTTTACGTTGTTTCGGTACTACGTCGCTAAACTTTAGAGACCAAAAATTCGTAACGTCCCGGTGATCCGATACTTCGTCGTTTTGTGTGGTCACGGACTACTTTCTATGGTGCATCATCCGCTCTTGTCTGGCCGCACTATGCTCTCTCGGCTGGCGCGCTGCCCTCACTCGTGGAATGTCACAGCATCTCCAAGCGACGCTAAGCCAGTCTCTGTTACGAATTCTCATCATTCATGTATACTTATGTGCTTTTGCTCTAAAACTGTACTCTAACCATTCGAAATGGCTTCCAAGCGCCAATCAAGTGCTACCGATGCTAGTTTAGTGAAGAGGCAATGTAAGAGCATTACCCTTGCTACGAAAATGGATGTATTTACCCAATTTGAAAAAGGGGAACGTGCTGTGGACATAGCCGCTGTGCTTGGTCTAACCCCCACAATGGTGCATGCTATCCGGAACAACGCTGACAAGAATAAGGTTAGTGCTGGAAGTGGTTCGTCTCTGAGTGCAACTAAGACAACTCGTACTAGAAGCACTGTGAAAGAAAAAGTGGAAAAGATGCTGGCAATGTGGATGGAGGACCAGAATCAACGCAATGCGCCTGTGAGCCTTATGGTTATCCAGCATAAGGCCAGATCCTTGTTTGACGAAATAAAGGCAGAAGAGGGTGAAGGATCGAAGGAAGAGACCTTTACGGCCAGTCGAGGCTGGGTTCAACAATTTAAGCGCAGGTATAACTTCCACAATATTAAGATGACTGGTGAAACTGCCAGTTCAGATACGGTTGCTGCCGAGACATTCCCGCCAGAATTCAAACGGATTATCCAGGAAGGAGGTTTCTCATCGAAGCAAGTCTTCAATGTGGATGAGACTGGTCTCTTTTGGATGAGGATGTCTGAAAGGACCTATATACCCAAGGAGGAGAAAAGAGCGTCAGGTTTTAAAGCGGCAAAAGACTACTTGACGCTGCTGCTTGGTGGACTTCAAGCTGAAGCCTATGCTAATTTCTCGCACTGCCAACCCACGGGCTCTGAAAGGTTACTCTAAGGATCACCTTTCTGTGATCTACAAGGCAAATGAGACGCATAGATAAACAGTGCCATATTTAGCCAGTGGCTGAACGTGTACGCCGTCCCTGCAATGAAAGAATACTGTACCAAGGTGAACCTTGACTTCAAAATTCTTCTGATCGTTGACAATGCTCCAGCCCATCCTTCCAATCTCGACGACTTGCATGAGTGTAAAAGTTGTATTCCTGCCTCCCAACACTACAGCACTGATGCAGCCTAAGAACCAAGGCGTCATCGCAGCATTCAAGGCGTATTATTTACGCCGTACCATGACCCAACTGCTCAAGGCTATATCAACGCATATGCAGTCACATACTTCCTTTGCTTCAGCCATGAGCGTCTTTGAAGGATTCTCACAGTACTTCGAGTTTCTTATTTCTAAAATAGCAGTTTTGAAATTTGTTATATATTCATGTACTTTAAACACATCAATTTCTCGAGACTGCATTTGGTTGTAAATTACTTAAACATAAGGCATGATCTGATGAAAAAGCTCCAACCAAAACATGAATTTTTCATTGTTCAGGTATTGCAAAATTCCTGTTGCTTCTGAAATGGTTCGATCTGCACTTACCGTCGACTGGATTTCAGCAAGGCAGCTTTTTAAAGGTTGCAAATTTTCATGTACTTTGTTCATGGTCCGTATGTTAAAGTTCCACCTTGTAGAGGATGGGCGCGGAATGCTGACTTTTATATACTTATTGAGAATGGGTACGCATTGTGGTGATCTTGAGAAAAATGTTGGTATAGCCAAAACGTTAGAGAAAAATATTCTTGAGTCCCGCGTAATACTTGCTGCATTTCTCATTATCAGATTCAGTTGGTGCGCATAACAGTGAATGAAATGTGCATTATTAAAAACTGCTTTTATTTTTGCCTGAACGCCCCCTTTTTTGCCTTTCATGACATTTGCACCATCAAATGTCTGAGTTATCAGTTTTTGTCTATTTCCTTGAAGGATTATATCTAACTGCTCTAGAATACATTTTGATATGTCATCTGCAGTTTGATTTTCTGGAATAAAGAATCCCCCAAAACGCTCAAATATTTCTTCATTCAGCACGTACCGTAGAACAATTACCATTTGAGTGTGTTCTGAAACATCTGTTGTGTCATCAGCCATGACAGCTACAAATGAAGTTTCTTTAATCTCTTTCTTTATCTCATCATGGTATATCTGCAGCAGGCAGTCAAGTATCTCATTCTGAATAGTCTTAGAAACACCTGTGAAGATTGTACTTTTTTTTAAATGGTTCTTTAAATATGGGTCTAATTTAGATGCAAAATTTGTTAATCCCCTAAATACACCTGGATTTACCGAATCATCTTTTTCATCATGTCCACGTAAAGGAATTTCAAAGTTTCCACAAAATGTAATGCAGTCTATTATCTTGGATAAAATTTCACGGTTCTTGGTAACCTTCCTGTTATGCTCAAAAGTCTATAGGCTTCACTAAGTTTTTCTTTAATATTTACGCTTCCTAAAAGTGATAGTGAAACCATGCTTTCAATATGCTTCTTTGACTTTTCATGTTTTTTTCCGTTTTTTCTTTCATTTTGTTTATATTTCTAAAGCCGTCTTTTGTCCAAGTTACATCGCTTCCAATTCCAAACAACAAACACGGAAAACAAAATAATGTATTTTTTACTTCCCAACCACAGAGCCAACTTTTCTTTTGGTACCTCTTACTGTTGCTTATTCCTGGCTGAGATATTTGAATATCAGGTGAGGGATGGCCTCTTGTCTTAATAGCAACTTTCTCATGAAGAGACAACTGTGAAAATTTAAGTTGTTGAAGTTCACTCACTGTCACAGAACTTGTTTCTTGGGAAAACAAGGAGGCCATGTTTAATTAATTCAAATTCTTCTACACAATAAAGTTTCTGAAAAAACAATGAATACAAAATGTTGTCTATGAGTATGAATCATACGCATCATGCTGTGAGGTGCTTACGCGTCTGCCATATCAAGAGTATTTAAATGTGATAAATTGTAGATGATGTGATATCATACAGTGTGATATCACATCATCAACAATTTATCACATTCAAATACTCTTGGTATAGCAGACGGCGCGTAAGCACCTCACAGGACGATGCGTAAACACTACCTCCCACACTGATAACCAGATCGGCACTGTGTGAGCCACACTGCTCACCCCTGCTTGCCTCCAGGACATGCGTGCGACAAAGCAAACGCCCGTTATTGGAACTGTCGAGTAAAACAGTTCCACATACAGGGAGTTTTGTTGTTTTCTCGGAATTAGAGGATGGCCATTGACATTAAGTTTAAGTTTTATTGATAATAGTTTTAAATATCTCGTACAAGTATAACTAAATAAACATATATGATATATTATATAATACATATATATCGGGTGAAATAGGGGGTGCTGCAGTTCCACAGTGCCTACTGACGAGCCGCCACTGCTCAGCGAACACCCAGACAGGGGGGTGCCGAAACTTTGGATTGTGACTGTACATTCGGTACAAAGAATTCTCTTGCTGGGGTCGACCGCAGATGGCGAGGGTGACGTCACACAAACTCCACCCACATGAGCAAATTAGCCATACTGGCCGACCTGGTATGGTTGGGTCCTAAGTCTAGAAGCGTTGTTTCTGGTCTAGGCGTAGAGTCATACCAGCTCTGTCTACGCGGCGTCTCGCAGGCGTCTCACGTGACGCATGAAATCGCGGGGAACTCTCATATAGTTTTTAATTTAAATTATCTTCTAAGCTATAAATTAAAAAAAAAATATTCCATAAATTTATTACTAAATTGCATAGTTAATTTTGTATTACATATGGTATTCATACAAAGTATAGTTTAGAAAACAAAAATTTCCACTTCTTGCCAAGTTTATACATGTCGTAGTCATTTCATTGCTGATTTACTTGATTTTCTCTTTGAAATAACTAGGCTTATAAGATTATAGAACTTAATATTTTAATATTTAGTACAGAGAATTATTTACAATCATATATTGCGATACTTTTTGCAAAAGACTGTGTTTGTTTAAAGTCTAATTTGCAAGGTATGCCAAAAGACCCTTCTGTAATCATTTACATTTGTGCCAAATGTAAATGAATTCTATACATAATTAGCATATCGATGCTCTCTGTGGAAATTCCATGAAAATGGTCGCCAAATCATAACATTTTATTCATAACAAGCCTTTTGATGAATTAAAATGAGCCCTTGAGAAGCCGATGTCATCCCTACCGAGGATAAGATACTATACCCTTTCCACACTAAGCTGGCCGATGAGCCCCGCCCCTCGTCTATAGCTACAAATAGCTGCGATTGGTTCACCTGAGCGTTTTATCTTCCCCCAGACTGCGTGTATATAAGCGCGTATTTATACCAACCTTTTAAAATTTTCTAACCTCCTCTTTGAAGTACTAATGCCTTGAAATTATTTGCATTTTGATAGTTCAGATATTTAACACTATTTTAGATACTAACAGATCTGCTTACCAATTGTGAACACATTTAGTTTGAAATGAACCAATCAGCTATTAGTATTGAAGAGGGGCATGGTCTTTGGGCCAGGTTAGCATGGAAATAGTCCTTGGTCCCTACCACACATCCCAAGGAGATTTGTAAACACCTCACCGTCCTCACACACCTAACTTCACATCTTGAGAACTCAGTTTGGAATGTAATTACTAATTAGATCCTGTATATGGTGCACTACTTGTATTCTTAACAGTGGGTTAAGAACTTATTTAATGGAAGATTTAATTACTGTATTTCTGTAATTCCTGTTTTTTTTTTAATATCTTCCAGCCGTGATCTTATATTATTTGAATAGTTCATGGAGTCTTAGTACAGTGACTTACATTTCATTTCCACATCACCAATTTCTGAATAACAGTACGTAAATCTGTTTTGATTTTTTCAGCATACAATTTATTTTCTTCTAATACATCAAGGAAAATGTTGTAAAATTTCATAGTAATTTTCTGTCACAAAAGATGTTATCATTAATGATGATGTCAACAGCGGTTGAGTGCAGAGGAGGCAAAGTGTACAACCCGTGCATGTCTACTATCCAGCCCCGGTGTGGCCTGCCATCTGATGGTGGGCCTCCTGACTTCTGTGTGGAGGGCTGTGATTGTCCCAGGGGCCTGGTGCACCATCAAGGCAACTGTATTCCTGTCAGTGACTGTCCCTGTACTCATCACAAAAGGGAATACAACGCCGGAGATACCATATCCCACGGTTGCAATTCTTGGTGAGTTATAAACATTACTCTGTCCTCTTCGCCACTGGTTGGCTCGTTAGTCGCAGGGGCGGTAGCCGGTAGGTCACATCTCTATTACCCACTGCTGCTGGTCAAGCTCACCAGCCTATAATTATTTGTAGCATGTGGCGATCTCCCTGTTTGAATATAAGACTCTTATAAGCCATTGTCCACTCCCTGGGATCTTTTGCTCGTCCTTGCATCTGCAGAACAGGATTTTCAGGGGGTTCAGCTTGTTGCACAACTTTATTAACGCTTTGGGATGCACGCTATCAGGATTCGCCCAATGGTATAGATACCTTAGGCGTTCATTGTGGAGAGGGGCCCGCCCCACAAGGGGTCACAGCTCAAGGTTGAAGTAGCCGCAAGTCCAGAAAACTGTGAGGGCAAACTTTTTCGAGGTAAGAATTGTGAACTCTTGGAACAACCTGCCAGAGATTGTTGTGACGGCACTGAGTGTGAGCCGTTTCAAGACCAGACTTGACCAGCACTGGAGCAGGTTCAGATACATGCAAGAGCCAGTACATGCCCAGTACTTGCCAACAGTGCGTTAACAGAGACTTGGCTGATCGACAAAGAGGCTAATGAGCCGATCAGTGGTCTGAAGAAGAAAGCCATTTTGTTTTTCAATGGCATTGTTATCACATCGTGTTTGGTATCCTATTGCAAGTTATCTGTATTTGTGGAGGATGAAGACTGTCTCCAAGAGTTCATCTGTCAACATGGACTAGTTGGCAGAGTGCTGACATTGAAGAACAAATAATTGTTTCAGTATAACATCCAAACCGATCGCACTCTTGTAAACCCCCAAAAAGTAAAATTACACAATGCTACCTGAAGAAGATTGCTTTAATTGGTGCCTGATATCAAAGTAAGTTCTTTCTTTTTAATATGCTGAGGGTCCAGGGGCAGAGCCCCTGGATTAGGAAGTTAGGTAAGGTTAGGTCAGGTTCTGTGCATTGGTATTTCCATTTTTGTGTTTAGTATCATGCAGATAGTATATCCAGAAATTTTGGTGCAATCAATAAAGTCCTTCTGGTGCCTATAATATTTATTCAATACCTGCAGTACATGTCTGGAAGGAGAGTGGGTGTGTACGGAGGTGAAGTGTGGCTCCCGCTGTGCTGCTGTGGGTGACCCTCACTACACCACCTTTGATGGCCGCCGCTTTGACTTCATGGGCAAGTGTTCCTACTACCTGGTGCAGGCGCAGGACTTCAGTATCGAGGTTGAGAATCAGCCATGTGCTGGTGCCTTCTCCGAGGTAATTGCTTTAGACTTTGTGTTATGTGTTGATGAGATGCATTGGGGCTTGCAAAGCTGTATTGTCACCTCAGAGTATCATTCAAATGTCATTGGTGTATTTAATGATACACTATATCTAATTTACACACAGAGATACAATCTAAGGAAACTTTTGTAGATTAAAGGAGCTGATAGGAGAGATATGGTTTAAGTCTTATACCTTCCCTGATGACATTGTGTTCATCGGCAACTGGTTCTATTGTTTACTATTTTTGTCTTTTTTTCCTTTTCATGTCTCTTTGTTTTTCCTTTGTTCACTGTTTTCTTAACACCTCTTATGTTACCAACCAATGGTATAATTTATCACACAGTTGCACATGGTTGAAAGCCCTTAGAACTAAGGTTGGCTCTTTTCATCTGTACAAAATGTGTCATCTCTTTGACCCCTGGCTAGTTGTTATCCAAATTAATACAGTATGACGCCTGTAGATTTTAAGTGTTTTCGTACATAAAAAAGACTTTATTGTTTGTTTAAGTTTCTGGGACTTCTGAGACTTTTAAACTCCATGCACTGTTTGTATTGATTTAAGATGGCATGAAATATATATTAATTTTAACTCTTATACAGACTTTGGAGATCTGGCCTCCCATTGACTGTTCAACACCTCCTGGTGGTGTGCCCGAGTCTCAGAGATTTTCGGCTTAAGCGCCTCTCCCGGTAGCGGGGAAGACGGGTCTTACCGTGTCTCTTTGGTGCTTGGGGGGGGGTAGTGTGGGAGTAGACGTCCTCTCCTTCGTGGAGGTAGCTGGCCTTTTACACAAGCTTTGAGTTTTATCTATTAGCATTTAAATGGTTTTTACGAAAGTCTTATGTTATATATTATTTTTTGTTTTTTACCTTACATTATTTTATTTGTAATTCGGCGACATATGACCTAAGCTGTTGCGTCGCCAGGGATGTAATTACCACAATCAGTCAATCAATCAATCGATTAGGTACAATACCCATGTGGGTCGTCTCGTATCCTTAACGACATAAACGACCACAAAATTACCCAGTATGTTTCCAAAATAGTACAGTACTATGTGACTCATTTTGCTGATGCAACCACATCCTCTTTTCCTTCCCCAGTGAAATAGAAGAGAATTTATTACAGTATTGCATTACTTTGATAAGGATTTAGTAGAAGTCTTCCTCTCCCACAAGGCTCAAACTGTCTGTCTCATTACTGTATATTGTGTAGTAAATAGCCTTTCATTTTCCCAACGAACTAACTAGGTAACTTTCCAAGTAAAAAATGGGTTAAGTTAATGAATTTCCTCCAGTGGTAAGTTTACATATTTCCTCACTTTGCCCGAGACTTAAATAGTTAATGATGAACTCGTTGTTCTCCTCTTCAAATTATCTTTTAACACTTCTTCTTCCTCTTTATGCAGAACATGAACTTCCAAGGATCAGTGGTGAGTCAGTATCCATCCTGTACCAAGTCAGTGACCGTGCGTACAGAAGGTACAGTGATACATCTCAAGCAGGGTAAGGAGGTCACTGTTAATGGGGTGGAGCTCAGGAGAATGCCTGCCTGGGTCACTGGTGCATACATCAAGATTGCTTCCAGTATCCTCGTCATAGGTAATTCATCACTGTCTTGTGTTTATAGTATTTCATATGGCAAAAAACATTCTTGAGAACTCCATATTATCGACAGGTTCAATAGATTAAACATTTGTGTGCAAATAAAAATAAAACTTTGCCAGAGCGTGATCCTTTCACTTTGATTGTAGGAAATGACACACACATTTGAATGGGTATGTAATTATAAAGATGGTATTCATGCTTTGTTTATTATCTAATATAATTTCGGTCAAATTTGGTATGGTTATTTGTTGTCTTATTGACTTACACATTTTTGGGTGCGGTCTACAAAGTTATTTACACTATAGTGTGCAGTCTACAGCATATTTACATTATAGACTGTGGTCTACTAATTGTCCAGTACTACACAATATCCACTATAAATATTTTTTTAATGATTTAGTATTTACATGTAAGGCTATGTTATATTACATTAGGTTAGACTAGAGATACAGTATCTTTATAGACCGCAAGCTATAGTAGCACCCATTTTTTGCAGTAGCTGGATATGATCGGTCACAAAAATTATTGTGTACACTTTATTTTTTTGGGGGGGGGGGGATTAGCCCACCCAGGCACAGGTCACTGACCCACATCAGGGCTTGGAGGGCGAAAATGAAATAATAATAATAAAATAATCATAATAATAATAATAATAATGTTCTCTAATTTTTCTTATTTATTAGCATATATTTATAAATATATATATTTTTTTTTCAGTTGAGTTGAGCAATGGGATGGACGTGTGGTGGGACGGCCAGACTCGTGTGTACGTAGATGCTCCAGCAAAGTTTCGTGGGGAGACAGCTGGTCTGTGTGGCACCTTCACTGACAACCAGCGGGATGACTTCCTCACACCAGAGGGAGACATAGAACAAGATGTTGTTGCTTTTGCAAATAAGTGGAAAACTTCTGAGGTTGGTAATAATGTTATGTGGACTACACTGCTTTGCTAGGTGTGGTGGCACTGATGTGTAGTCACATAACTCATTTTGGTCTTGGTTTGAATCTTATCCTGTAAGTGATATCTCCATTAGCCAGAACAATTGGTGCAGAGCATTTCCGAGAATGAGAGATTTGCGAGTAACGAGACTACTCTCTCAAAGCTGGAAAAAATCCCCCATCCCCAGAATTTTCTGGGTACTGGGAAAATTTTCTCGGAATTTTCCGAGAAATTTTAGTTCCAGCTATCGGAGAGTTCCAATTAAGGGAAGCATCTGGCTGAAAATACGACGAAAATCGGAAAATTAAGAAAATATTTAGAAAAATTCCTGAGGAAAGCTGTTGCCTGTGGCTATCTGCTCAGATATTTTGACAGTGAAATTCGTAATATTTATGTAGCTATGCATGATAGTTCTACCCCCCCCCCCCTTTCATTTAGAGGGCACTTCTGTTTACTGAGCACAAGCTGTACAGTACTCCTCGGTTACCCACAAAAGAAGCGAGAATAAGCTTCGACTGTCTGTTGCTCTCGCGCCAACCCTATCGAGGTGTGTCTCAGAGTGAGTTTTTCTACCTTACAAATCTTTAAGGCTTGGCCATTTATGGGCCGATTCTAAAAAAAAAGATGAAAGTAGTAGAATAACATATTTTGCACGGCTGAATATATAGTTTTTCTTTATATTTGCCTTGGTTTATTATTTGCTGATTTATCTTTATAAATATTTGGATGAAAAAATGGTAAGTTAGGAAAAAAAATTCATGCTCCCAAAACAAAAGCAATAATCAGAAATATTTATATGTCATGTTCAAGTACAGTAAATTACCTATAATTCACGAGAATTTCAACATAATATAGCGATAAGTTATGGAGAAGTATTATTTTGAAAATTGATAAGAAAATAAGGAAAAAATCAGGTACTCTCAGGGATTAGGCAGAACCGATTCAGAGGTATAACAAAAATGTATCTGGTGTCCTTAAATGCTGGAAGGAAAATTATATTAATTGTTCAGTTATTAATGAATTTCGTGCTTCAACCAGACGATACCCTAAAGAGGGATTCTGGCAAACGGAGATAGTACTTACTTCTATGTGATGCCCCTAGCTCCCGACAGTCAGCCAAGTGGGAACTCCATCAAAATGTTATGATGTGTGGAGACATCTGGAAGCATCTTCATAGTAAGCACAGATATTATTTTGAGTGAATCACTTTGAGAATGTGACAGCATGTGTAAGGAGTGCCATGATTGGCAAAAACATTTAACATCAGTGAAACTGCAGGTCTCCTTTATTGACATTACTAGAAGTTCAATACTGGTTAGGATATGTAAGGGGGCAATCAAGTTGGGGATATTTTGATAAAAAATTAATACAATCTCAAATAATAGGAAGGTTGTATTAATTAATATATAACAGTCAGTAAAAATAATATTTGGCATCTTAGCACTTGGTAACTAAGTGATTTTGTATCGCCTTGGCTTTCTAGATAGCGAGACTGATTTGGTTAATTATGTTGGCATGTGAAGACTGGTTTATTATGACAGGTAGCTATGGAAGAGGAGTCTCTCCTCTCTTAAAGTGTGAAATCTTGTCCTTGCTAATGAAAGAAGCTTAACAAGGTCGATGGTACACCATTACCACAACTACATATAAATTAATTAGGAGATGGAAACTGTACAACACACAAGTGTGGACTGAGAAACTGGGTTGTCAACTTATTACTTAGTGCTATTAGCAACAGAACAAGTTTTAATAACTAGTCATATATGTATGTGATGAAAAGAACCTAAATTAACAAGTTGAATTAACAAAGGAAAATTAAAACTGTGGCACTAAACAATAATTAATGCCTACTGGTCAGTAGATAGACCTGGCCAGTACAGGTGAGTCCTCTGAATATTGGGATCCTGTCCAGATCACATTCACTTGGAAGCTCATTAGCTTATATAACAGTGGACTCAAACCTCTGACATTGACATGGGAGAGGCTGAGCAGTTTTACATTTACGTCTCCAGTTACTGTGAAGATAGATGGCTTGCTTGCTATAAAGTATCGGTATCGACTTTAGGATGAGTATGGTATCGGCATAGACGTCATAGCAATCACCGAAACTTGGATGAATCTGGCGAGCAAAATTTTTTTTATCAGAGTGCCACATAGAAGGGTACAACCTTTTTCACAAGGACAGGGAAGGTAGGAAGGGGGGAGGGGTCGCACTCTTCGTCAAGGATACATTAAAATGTTGTATTAATAATTTAATAAAGGGTGAAATAGGAACCGAGTCTGTGTGGGTAGAAATCACGGAAGGAAGAGAAAAATTAATTTTGGGAGTAATTTACAGGCCCCCCAAGTCTTGGCAAAGAAGCAGCTCAGCCCATATGGCAGGAAATGAGTAGGGCAGCAAAATATAACAACCTATGCATTATGGGGGATTTCAACTTCAGAAATATTGACTGGGACAACATTGTAGGTGACTATGAATCTGAAGACTTCCTAGACACAGTACAGGACAGATTTTTGAAACAACTAAATACAGAACCTACTAGAGGTGACAATATATGAGACCTAGTATTAACAAATAAAGAAAATATTATCAGAGATATCACAGTAGGGGAAGAACTAGGTAACAGTGATCACAGAGAAATTAGGTTCACCCTAAATTGGGAAACGAAAAACAATGACAATATGGTCAGAGTCCCAAACTTTCGGTTGGCGGATTATCAGGGGTTAAGAAGGTACCGAGGTGAGGTCACCTGGGAACAGTCACGTCAGTCCCCAGTAGGAAGGGGTGAGGTCATAGATGACACAACAATTGATCATGACTATAATATATTCACTAGTATACTACATAAAGCACAAGAACAAATTATACCATACAGAAAAATTAGGTCAAATAAGAATGAGCCAAGGTGGATGACCAGAAAACTTAAACATGTCATAGGAATAAAGAAAGGAATATATAAGAAATTAAAGGGAGGGGAGGAGCAGCTCAGAAATAGGTATAATGAACTATCTAGGAATTTTAAGAAAAATGTAAGGAAAGCAAAGAGAGGCTATTAAATCAAAATAGCAAGAGAATCCAAGGCAAATCCCAAGGGATTTTTCCAGGTATATAGGACAAAGGTCAAGGACAAAGTTGGGCCTTTAAAGTCAGGGAGGGGAGAAGTCATAAATGGCAGTGAAGAAATAAGCAAAGCATTGAACAGCTACTTCTTATCAGTTTTCACAGAAGAAATTTGCGATGAAATTCCAGAGGTGGAACTGATATTTAAGGGAAAGGAAGAAGAGAAATTAAAGAATATCACTATCAGAAAAGAGGATGTTCTTAAGAAGATAAATAAACTAAAGAAAACAAAATCCCCAGGGCCGGATGAAATTTTCCCTCGAGTCTTGAAAGAGTGTAGGGAACAGATTAGCGGACCCCTCGTAAACTTATTTACAAAATCATTAGACACTGGAGTTGTGCCAGACTTGTGGAAACAGGCAAATGTAGTACCCATATTCAAAAAAGGAGACAGAGCATCAGCGTCAAATTACCGGCCGATCAGTTTGACGTCAGTAGTGGGGAAATTTCTTGAATCAATTATAGCAGATAGCATCCGATCGCATCTAGAGAAAAGCAAATTAATCTACGACTCTCAACATGGGTTTACAAAGGGAAAATCTTGTCTAACAAATCTGCTAACGTTTTTTAGGAAAGTCTTCGAGATAGTAGATAATGACGAAAATTACCATGTTATTTACTTAGACTTTAGCAAAGCATTTGACAGAGTACTGCATCAGAGGCTTCTGAGAAAAATTAAGGCTCATGGTATCGAGGGGAAAGTTTTAAATTGGATCAAATCATGGCTCACCGATAGAACGCAGAGGGTCAGCGTAGATGGTGTTAAATCTGAGTGGGGCCGTGTAACCAGTGGGGTTCCCCAGGGGTCAGTACTAGGCCCACTCTTGTTCATAATCTACATAAACGATCTAGACATTTCAGATCAGCAGACATAAGCAAGTTTGCGGATGACACCTCAAAAATAGGGCGGCACCATCCAGGGCAGTGATGCAATGCACATATAAGAACATAAGAACATAAGAAAGTGATACTGCAGGAGGCCGACTGGCCCATACAGGCAGAACCCTTTCACACCATCCCAGCACTTCCATGTGCCTATCCAATCCCCGTCTTGAAGCTCTTAGCGTCCCCGACCCTACTACTATAGCACTCGGTAGTCTATTCCACATATCCACAACTCTATTACCAAACCAGTGCTTGCCTATATCCTTTCTGAATCGGAATTTATCTAATTTAAAGCCATTTGTTCTAGTTATTTCGTTATTACTGAGCTTCAGAACATCTTCCATTTTACCCTTGTTAATCCCACTTACCCACTTGTACACCTCTATCATATCTCCCCTAACTCTACGCCTCTCTAATGAATGTAAGCCTAAGCTTTTCAGTCTTTCTTCATATGGAAGGTTTCTAATATTATGGATCATTTTTGTCATTCTTCTTTGTACTGTCTCCAAAGAATCTATGTCCATTCTATAATAAGGACACCAGAACTGAACCGCATAATCCATGTGTGGCCTCACTAATGCTAGGTAAAGTTCCAAGATAACGTCAGCAGTTCTGTTACTCACAGACCTAGATATGAACCCAAGAATCCTGTTTGCCTTGTTGCGAACGCTAATACATTGTTTTCTAGGTTTCAAGTCGTTGCTAACAACACCCAGATCTTTTTCACAAACTGAGCTTAGCTTCGTGTTACCTAGTTTATACTTAACGTTTGTATTCGTCTTCCCATCTGTAGTACCTTGCATTTATCAGTATTAAAATTCATTTGCCAGTCTACTGACCACTCATGTAAGGTATCGCTAGGGATCTTTAAAGGTGTTCAAAGCTCACTGTCTGAATTTATCACTCTCCCATTTTGGGTATCATCTGCAACTTACTAATCCTACTAGAAGTTATGCCTAAATCAAGATCATTAATGAAATATAACAAACAGCAGAGGGCCTAATACAGATCCCTGGGGAACTCCGCTGGACCGCACCTAGGTCTGACTTAATCCATTTATGCTGACTCTTGTTTCCTGTACCAGTTAACCATGACCTAATCCATTTTAATACTGATCCACCTATTCCATGTGCTTCTACCTTCCTTATCAATCTCTCATGAGGGACTCTATCGAATGCTTTACTGAAATCTAAATAAAATATATCATATGACTTATCATTATCTACCGCTTCAAATACTTCTGAGAAAAAGCTAAGCAAATTTGTGAGACAAGAACGTCCCTGGGTGAACCCGTGCTGAGAAGAATGAATTAAGTTGAATGTTTCAAGGTGGCTTCTGATTTTTGTAGCAATAATTGACTCTAGTAACTTGCCTATGATTGACGTGAGACTAATGGGAAGGCAATTTGATGCTATTGATTTATCACCCTTTGAAAATCGGAACTACATTTGTAAGTTTCAAGCTTCTGGCACCAGTCCTATCTTCTAATGACTTATTAAATAAAAACTGCTAATGGATTACTCCAACTCATCTCTACATTCTTTAATATTCTAGCATACCCTGCTCCGGACCAGGCGACATGAGGCTTCAGTTTGTTAATTACTTTAAGCACATCGTTACTAGTAATATTGATATTCATCAACATATTTTCTATACTGTCGTTATATACCTTATGAACTTTTGGAAACTGTGCTAGGTTTTCATTTGTGAATACCGAGCGAAAATGACTATTTAACGTACTACACATTTCTAACTCATCATCAGTCATTTCTCCTGTCGTAGTTTTAAGGGGACCTATTGTATCTCTAACCTTTGATTTATACAGTTGATAAAAAGCTTTGGGGTTATTTTTCGATTCGTTTGCTACCTTGATTTCATAATTACTCTTTGCTTTCCTAATTTCTGTTTTTACCTGTCTTGTTAGGTTCTGATAGTAACCAAGTAAGTGATTTTCGCCTTTCTTAACTTTTCTATATACTCCTTTCTTTTTCCCTAGAAGATCTAAGAGTCTATTATTCATCCATTTTGGGGTGGTCTGAAAAATGGCAAATGAAATTCAACACCAGCAAGTGCAGCGTACTTAATATTGTAAGAACAAATACTTATAATGTATACAGCCTTAACAACATCAACCTAGAGAAGTCGACTTGTAAAAGAGACCTAGGGGTACTTTGTAAGCCCGGACCTACGGCCTAGAAAACAGTGCGTTAATATTCGAAATAAGGCAAACAGAGTATTGGGTTTTATATCTAGAAGTGTAAGTAACAAGAGTGCAGAGGTCTTATTGCAACTATATCTTGCGCTAGTCAGGCCGCACCTCGATTATGCAGTTCAGTTCTGGTGCCCCTATTATAGAATGGATATAAATTCACTAGAGTCGGTGCAGCGAAGAATGACAAAAATGATTCCGGGACTTAGAAACCTTCCATATTAGGATAGGTTAAAGAAACTTAACTTGCATTCCCTAGAAAGACGAAGAGTGCGGGGAGATATGATAGAAGTATTTAAGTGGGTGAAAGGAATCAATAAAGGGGATATAGATAAAGTTCTTATAATATCCGAGCAGGATAGGACTCGGAGCAACGGATTCAAGTTGGTTAAGTTTAGGTTTAGGAGGGAGATAGGAAGAAATGGCTCACAAATAGGGTGGTGGACGAGTGGAACAAGCTTAGCAACTTTGTAGTAAGTGCGGGAACTCTGGAAAGTTTCAAAAGGAGGCTAGATAGATTCATGGATGATAGAGAGTGGTAGTAACTGTCGACAGGAGCTGCCATGCACAGGCCAACCGGCCTATTGCAGACTCCTTATTTTCTTATGTTCTTATATCTGTCGCATCAATTGGACTGGGGATATAGTTTGCCCCTTTTTGCAACCATCTTGCCCTCCATATGGAACTGTCAGCTTCTGGTTTGAAATTCAGCCTGGCAATAACCATCTTTGTGATCAGCGAAGATTAATTAGTCTTATAATATTTGTTACTGTCTTTGAACAGACTTGCAACTTACATATTTTTTTATGACCAGCTTAGCACGTAAACTCAGGGCGGCGCTACCCACTAGGCGAACTAGGCGATCGCCTAGGGCGCCAACATCTGGGGGCGCCACAAATTCAGGGCAAACTTGGATAAAATTAAAAATGAAGGGAAAACTGTGGTGGACACTGTGGTGGAGCCGTGGAGGGTCGGAGCAGGATGTTAGAAGGGTGGGGGGTCGGAGGGAGGCGAGGGTAGGTAGACGGTAGCCGACTGTGTTTTCTTTTTTAATATTATTCGTTAACCCCCCGGAGGGACTAACCCGGGTCCTTATCTTTGGCGGCCTGGAGAACTGTCGAGCAGTGACCTGAAGGCTGACATCTGAGGAACCCTTCTCCCAACCCCACCATCCCCTCCCCTCCCTTACTGCCAGGGCGGCTGAGCCGCCCCTTCCCTGTCTTTGTCGGGATGAGGCAAGGTTACCTGACCTCTGAAGTTTACGTCAAGGATTTATTGACTTAATGTAATAACAATAATTGGTTATTTGCATGGGTGAAGTAATAAAGCCACAAGATGAAAACAATGTAGTTATGGGTTACTGTACCTACATTAGCTTATCAAAACTTTCAAGGGGGCGCACATCTAAAGGCTTGCCTAGGGCGCCAAATCATCTTGCACCGGCCCTGCGTAAACTATGATGCAGAATGCAAAAATTTACAAAGTCTGAAACTTGTCAGAAGCAGTAAATTATACAGATATAATTCCCAAATTTTCATTTATTTTCTTTTTTTAGTACACTTTCTCACAAATTGTTTTGGTAAATAAATTTTCTACTTTGATCACATTTATATAAATTTCAGTTAAATTAATAAAAAAACATTTCCCTCCTTTCCTTCCTGAGGTAGTTTACTCGCCTCTCCTCTTCATCTGAATTTTGTATAATCCGGCTAGAATTTACCTCAAGAGTAAAGGAATAACAGAAAATGAATGGCTTATTTAGTTTGTGTAAAAAAATATCTTGTCTTAACAGAATTGCCCAGACCAGCCGTTGGAGCCTGAGACTCGACCGTGTGAGAGACATGTACAGAATAAGGAAAAGGCTGAAAAATATTGTGCGAAGCTCAAGTCCCATGTGTTTAGTGGTGAGTACACCGTCCCTCTTTAGTTTGTCTTTTTCATTCATTATTTGTGAGAACATGTAACAGCGGATCTCTCCCATTGGGTGAAATGAAAGCCGGTGTACATCAGTCAGTTTTACTCTTGTGGCAACAGCACGTACTGTACACCTGTGATAAGTACAAAGAAAATACACAAATAGTTCCCAAATGTGTCCACACATAAAAATAATAATAATAATAATAATAATAATAATAATAATAATAATAATAATAATAATAATAATAATACAACAAAAAATATATAAAAAATAATAAAAATAATAAAAATAAAAATAAAAATAAAAATAAAAATAATAAAATAATAATAAAACATAAAAATACAACAAATAAAATAATAATAATAAAAAATACAAATAAATAAGTTGTAATAAAAATAAAAAAAATAATAAAAACCATAAATAAAAAAATGAAAAAAATCAAGAGTGAGAAACGACATATGTATGTTGTGTTGTCAAAGTAAGAGAAACAATTGAGACCCTGCAGTTGTGTGTAAATGAGGCAGAATGTCTGTTCAGCAACCTGGGACTTGGTCACAATTTTTGTGATGCCATATGGCAGCAGGGTTTACCATTAGACAATATAATATGCTTCCAATATTTTCCCAGGCGGTAGTACTGTACCACCCTGTTTGATAGCTGCCTACTACCTATTATGTAAGGGGGAAATAAGCGGCATGGCCTGGCAGAGATAGAATAATACACATGTATGTTATTCATGAAGAAGGAACATGTGGTCGACAAATGACGACTTAACAACATGGCGTCTAGAGGAGAGAGATGTGACTCTCACATGTATTAAGATAGTATCTCAGTGGTAATATAATCACAGTAATATTTCTCACACTTTAACAACAAAATAGGCGAGGCGACTGAGTGTCTAGAATCAATGAAACAATGTCTCTACTCATATATGGTTGCTTAGGCCTCAACATACATCCACTATATATATATATATATATACACATATACACACACACATACTGATGCCAAAGACTATAACTTCCGTCTATCTCAAGCACAACAATCCTCCCTCACCCAGTGCCTAAGGGAGGAGGAAGTCGATTCGGATTTTTGTCATTTAATACGCGACCCCCCCCCTCCCTCCCAGGCTGTTATGCACTCTAAAAGGCAAGTCATGGGCATTAGACTATGTAAGGAGCTGGCTTAGGTGGCATGGCACCCCAGTTGTTTTAACCAGTCCCATACCAAACACATATCAGGAGGCACACACCCCTGTGCAGCTCCAAACCGCCTTAGGCCCAGGGACAATGAAGCATCACAAGGAGACAATGTAAGTGTGAATGGCCCTTACTGATAGTACATACAGCACTAACAGAACACCTTGTAACACTGTGAGTGGTCCTTACTGACAGTATATACAGCACTAACAGAACACATTGTTACACTGTGAGTGGCCCTTACTGACATTACATAGAGCACTAACAGAACACCTTGTAACACTGTGAGTGGTCCATACTGACAGTACAAACAGCACTAACATAGCACCTTGTAACACTGTGAGTGGTCCTTACTGACAGTATATACAGCACTAACATAGCACCTTGTAACACTGTGAGTGGCCCTTACTGACAGTACAAACAGCACTAACATAGCACCTTGTAACACTGTGAGTGGTCCTTACTGACAGTATATACAGCACTAACATAGCACCTTGTAACACTGTGAGTGGCCCTTACTGACAGTACAAACAGCACTAACATAGCACCTTGTAACACTGTGAGTGGTCCTTACTGACAGTATATACAGCACTAACATAGCACCTTGTAACACTGTGAGTGGCCCTTACTGACAGTACAAACACTAACATGTGTAACACTGTGAGTGGCCCTTACTGACAGTATATACAGCACTAACAGAACACCTTGTAACACTGTGAGTGGTCCATACTGACAGTACAAACAGCACTAACAGAACACCTTGTAACACTGTGAGTGGTCTTACTGACAGTACAAACAGCACTAACATAACACCTTGTAACACTGTGAGTGGTCCTTACTGACAGTATATACAGCACTAACAGAACACCTTGTAACACTGTGAGTGGTCCATACTGACAGTACAAACAGCACTAACATAGCACCTTGTAACACTGTGAGTGGCCCTTACTGACATTACATAGAGCACTAACAGAACACTTTGTAACACTGTGAGTGGTCCTTACTGACAGTACAAACAGCACTAACATAGCACCTTGTAACACTGTGAGTGGTCCTTACTGACAGTATATACAGCACTAACAGAACACCTTGTAACACTGTGAGTGGTCCTTACTGACAGTACATAGAGCACTAACAGAACACATTGTAACACTGTGAGTGGTCCTTACTGACAGTATATACAGCACTAACAGAACACCTTGTAACACTGTGAGTGGTCCTTACTGACAGTATATACAGCACTAACAGAACACCTTGTAACACTGTGAGTGGTCCTTACTGACAGTATATACAGCACTAACAGAACACCTTGTAACACTGTGAGTGGTCCTTACTGACAGTACATACAGCACTAACAGAACACCTTGTAACACTGTGAGTGGTCCTTACTGACAGTATATACAGCACTAACAGAACACCTTGTAACACTGTGAGTGGTCCTTACTGACAGTATATACAGCACTAACAGAACACCTTGTAACACTGTGAGTGGTCCTTACTGACAGTACATAGAGCACTAACAGAACACCTTGTAACACTGTGAGTGGCCCTTACTGACAGTACAAACAGCACTAACATAGCACCTTGTAACACTGTGAGTGGTCCTTACTGACAGTATATACAGCACTAACAGAACACCTTGTAACACTGTGAGTGGTCCTTACTGACAGTATATACAGCACTAACATAGCACCTTGTAACACTGTGAGTGGCCCTTACTGACATTACATAGAGCACTAACAGAACACTTTGTAACACTGTGAGTGGTCCATACTGACAGTACAAACAGCACTAACAGAACACCTTGTAACACTGTGAGTGGTCCATACTGACAGTACAAACAGCACTAACAGAACACCTTGTAACACTCTGCAACACCAAGTCATGAGCAGCAACTTAAGGAGAAATTTGTATAGAACTAAACTTTTTTCTTACCTCTATAATTGTACAGTAGACTAAAGCACAAGTATAGGAATTAGAGCTATCTGAGTACACCATGTTAACGGCTCCTTGAGAAAATATGGTAAGGTAATAAAATAAAATCCTAACCTAACCTAAAATAAATTAATACACTTCCATCATAGTCATAGGTAATAAATGTTAGACTGGGTTATCATTAAGAGGTGTGTGTGTGTGTGTGTGTGTGTGTGTGTGTGTGTGTGTGTGGAGCACACACCTAACATCACCCACACACCCCAAACATCACCCAACAACACCCACACGCACCCAACCACCACCCACACACCCCCAACACCACCCACACACCCCCACACCACCACACACCCCCAACACCACCCACACCACCCACACACCCCAACACCACCCGCACAACCCCAACACCACCCACAAACCCCCAACACCACCCACACACACCCCCAACACCACCCACACACCCCCAACACCACCCACACACACCCCAACTCCACCCACACACCCCCAACGCCACCCACACACCCCCAACGCCACCCACTCACCCCCAACACCACCCACACACCCCAACACACACCACAACACCACCCACACACACCACAGCACCACCCGCACATACCACAACACCACCCACATACACCACAACACCACTCACCACCACACACCCAACACACACACCACACACACCACAACACCACCCACACACCCCAACACCACCCACACCCTCCCAACACCACCCACACACACATCCCCAACACCACCCACACACACCCCAACACCACCCACACACACCCCAACACCACCTACACACACCCCAACACCACCCACACATACACCCCCAACACTACCTTCACACCCCAACACACCCACACACACATCCCAACACACCCACACACAAACCCCAACACCACCCACACACCACCCACACACACCCCAACACCACCCACAATTACACCCCAAGACCACCCACACACACCACAACACACCACCCACACAACCCCAACACCACCCACACAACCCTCCCCAACACCACCCACACCCTCCTCCCAACACCACCCACACCTCCCAACACCACCCACACATACCCCAACACCCCCACACACACCCCAACACCACCCACACACACCCCAACACCACCCACACACACCCCAACACCACCTACACACACCCCAACACCACCCACACATACACCCCCAACACTACCTTCACACCCCAACACACCCACACACACATCCCAACACACCCACACACAAACCCCAACACCACCCACACACCACCCACACACACCCCAACACCACCCACAATTACACCCCAAGACCACCCACACACACCACAACACCCACCCACACACACCACAACACCACCCACACACACGCACACACACCCACACACACCAACACCACCCACACCCCCAACACCACCCACACACCCAACACCACCACACATACCCCCAACACCACCCACACACCCCCCAACACCACCCACACACCCCCAACACCACCCACACACCCCCAACACCACCCACACACACCACAACACCACCCACACACAATCTCACAACACCACCCACACACACCACAACACCACCCACACACACCTCACAACACCACCCACACACACCACAACACCACCCACACACCCACAACACCACGCACACACACGCCCAACACCACCCACATCCACCCCCAACACCACCCACACCCACCCCCAACACCACCCACACCCACCCCCTCAATACCACCCACATCCACCCCCAACACCACCCATACACACCCACAACACCACCCACACACACCCACAACACCATCCACATACCCCCGATAGATCACTGGGGGCAAATATATAATAAACTTACATGAAGGATTGCAACATCATAAACATGGCCACTGGTCGAGATATAAAACATGATGGCCGAGTTGGGGCGACGCGGAATATGATTTTCTAGGCAGGTGAGGGTAGGGGGTGTGAAACTTGTGAGGCGGGGAATTTAGGAGTTTGCGCGAAACTCATGAATTGTGGAACTCAGGGTGTACGAAATTTGCGAGGCCACTGTATACTACCACCTGGGAAGATATTGGAAGCATAATGCATTGTCTAATGGTAGACCCTACTGCCATATGGCATCACAAAAATTGTGACCAAGTCCCAGGTTGACGATCTGACTTTCTACCTCATTTACATGAAATTGCAGGGTCTCAATTGTTTCTCTTACTCTGTCAAAACAACATACATATTAGGTACTTCGTTTCTCACTATTCAATCTCTTATTTTTATTATTATTATTATAAATTCTGGTTACTGTATTTCATTAATAGTGTAGAATGTGTCATCTTCTTAATGTGAGCATAATATCACTGTTGTTTATAATATAGTAAAAATTTTAATCAACAGAGTGTCATGTAGCTGTGGATCCTGAGCCATACTACCAGGACTGCTTGTATGACTTATGTTCCTGTGAGACCAACATAGATGAATGCTTCTGCCCAGTGGTGTCTGCTTTTGGCAAAGAGTGTGCTAGAAAGGGCACCATTATAGACTGGCGCACCGATATCCGCGAGTGTGGTATGTCACAAATATTTATGGACTGCAATCACCTGAAAGCATTAATCTATTTTAATGTATTTTATTTAGAATTCCAGATCTATTCAATCTGTCAAAATCTTAAAACTACAGTAATCCAAGAGTGTCTAGTTCTATGAATGTTCTGGATCTTATGAAAGTTAGGAATTCCCTGTTATTTTCCCAGATTTTGAAACACACTAAGGCTAAATAAGGTTATCTTAGGTTAGATTATGTAATGTTAGGCTTAGTTAGGTTAAGTCAGATTAGCACTAGGGTACTGAATGGTCAGGTGAAATAAGTGGCAATACTTAATTTAAACAGGACCCAATCTTGCTTTTACAAAAGGTAATGGAAATTACAGTGTATTGCAAACCTCTACCATGGATAAAATTAGTTTTTATTTTGTTATGCTGCTTGCATGGAGATATAACTACAGGTGTATTGGCAAGTTGATTAATTATGTTTTTTTTTCTTATCAGATTAAATCACTAAGTATTTCAGACCATATGAACCGTAGTATAAAAATGCTACTCATAATAATACAGTATTTATTTACCCTTAATAGAACTTGAAATGAGTAAACTATTAACTTATAATCTCTTGACATGAAACATATTTAGTTTATTGTTGTTTAATCTTACAGAGATTCAGTGTACTAATGGGCAAGAGTATCAGGTATGTGGGAACAGCTGTTCTCGCACTTGCCTGGATCTAACCACCAACACCGATTGCATCAAAAAATGTGTGGAGGGCTGCAATTGTCCAATTGGGTTTACTCTGGATAGTGATGACATATGTTTGCCCATTAGTGAATGCCCATGTGTACATGATGGTGAAGAGTACGAGCCCGGACATAAGATGAGGCAGCAACAGGTTGATGGCGCCTTTCTAATGTGGTTAGTCTTATATCCATCTCCTTGAAGTATGGTTGTGTCTTGGTGATGCCATACAGCATCACCAATGTCATCTTGACCTTTGTTGTCTCTTATCTAACATTTACTACATCCCTGTTACACTAACTTGTATGAATGTGTAAAGTTATTATAAGAGTAGTTTAATAATACAGTATATGTGATATCTCATTCAGTTACACATAATACACACACACAGACACTTGCAGTACAGTATAATAATCAGTACATGTACTGTATATGCAAACACATTTATAGATGCATCATACAATGGCCAAACTTAAATGAAGAGCTTTCATTTGTGTAGTTTCTATCAGTTCACTCATTGCTGTATACAGTGAATAACGCTTTCTACTATTTTTTTTTTTTATTAAACAATAATATGATGAGATGGGGAACATGACGAGCACAGTGAGCCCACTCGGTCTTTTTTTGGGGAGGGGCGCTGTAAGCGCCCAGAAATCTGACCAATATTATGAGCATTTTGAGGTATTTTTGAAGCCATGTGCACTTGTTATTAAGAAATATTCTGAAGTCAATAATAACTACCTTTTGTAAAAAAAAAAAAAAATATATATATATATATATATATATATATATATATATATATATATATATATATATATATATATATATATATATATATATATATATATATATATATATATATATATATATATATATGTATATATATATATATATATATATATATATATATATATATATATATATATATATATATGATGTAGATCCACAATGAAAACGTGGTAAGATAAATCTTGATAAAATCACACGGGAAAAGGGAAACAACGGAGCACCTTAGATTTCGTCTTTATTCGAGACATCTTCAGAGGCCTCTGAAGATGTCTTGAATAAAGACGAAAGTTAAGGTGCTCCGTTGTTTCCCTTTTCCCGTGTGATTTTATCGATATATATATATATATATATATATATATATATATATATATATATATATATATATATATATATATATATATATATATATATATTTCATGTAGATCCACAATGAAAACGTGGATAAGATCAATCTTGATAAAATCACACGGGAAAAGGGAAACAATGGAGTACCTATATATGTGTGTGTGTGTATATACAAAACACAAACAGATAAATAATAATTGGAAAATCCTTTAACAAATAATGAGAAACAAATGTGGTATTAAAAATGTAGTCTACCTTAAAATTAAATCCATGCTTTGTTATTATTAAAGCACGAATTAGAATTATGGGTAGACTTAATATTTTTAATACTACATTTGTTTCTGATTATTTGCGAAAGGATTTTCCTATTATTATTTATTTGCATGTGTTTTATGTGTGTGTTTGTGTGTGTCTATGCACACACAAACATATATCTCGATAAAATCACACAAGAAAAGGGAAACAATGGAGCACCTAAGTTTTCGTCTCCATTGAAGACATCTCCAAGGGCAACTGAATTTACAGGGACTGAGAGAGGCTTATGAGTGACCTTACATAACATGAGGTAAAAGAAATAATTGTCCGAATGTCAAACACATAAAGGGAATATACATTTCTTTGTACACAAGTAAAATTATACCCCCCCCCCCCCTGGTCAGCAAAGTTTATTCGCGGATTTGTCGATTCGCGGCCAGTTTTAGAACCTAACCTCTGCGAATTTGAGGGACTTGCTGTACATACTGGATTTTTCTGATGAAAATGGGGGGTCTGGATCCCTAGGACTCCCCACCGGATCTGCCACTGTACAGAAGACAATAATGACTCATATACACTAATAATTTTCATTCATCAGATCTTCTAGTAGAGGATATTATTTTGTGAATTGCTAATCCATTGTGAACTAAATAAAGAACCATTATATCCGTTATATTCAAAGATTTTATCCCAGCAAAAAGAATTTTGTAACCTGTAAAGTTTTACATTCTCTGTGTTATACATTTTACAGACTCATTCAATTGAAAAAAACCAGGAAGTATTAATAAGGTTATGTTATTCATTCAAGTTTGGTTTTTCTATTACAGTATTTTACACACAAACATATTTGACAGGTACAGTATAACCAAAATGTAGTGATGGTTTAATTAAATTGCCAGTGCTTGTTGACATGAGGAAATAATTATAATTTAACCGCTGATATGAAATAATTCATCAAGATTCATAAAGTTTAATAAAGTGAATATTCTCACTAGCTGGGGATGTAAGAGTGTTCTTTTCCTTACTGGTTAAGCTAAAGCACAGAAAAGCATCAAAATTACACTGAGGCTCGACCTAACTACTGTAGGTAGGAAACAAACTGCAGTGTGCAGTACTATACTGGATCTTTTCCTAAAGACTTTGCTTCAAGTTTATGATAATTTTTTTTTTATTTAAGGCCTATTTCAGGTGAACCAGTAACGCGCATTCTTACATCTTCAGTTATGAGGAATATTCATTGTGTGAGACAACTCGAGTAATGCAAATTGCTGAACTGTGCTATGCCTTTATCATGTTAAATACATATCAACTTTTTTTTTCAAATAAATAATATGACAAGTTATTTTACTGATATATGATACTCTTTAGACATAAGCTTGTATGTTGTAATATACCTGTACTGTGTTTGCCTACAGTGAGTGCAACAATGCTGCCTGGCAGTGCAGGAAGCCACAGAGCAATGAAACTATGACCGAAGCTCCTGTGCCAAAATGTCAAGGAGAAGACCACGAGGTTTACAGTGATTGTGTGCCACAAGAGCAGCATACCTGTCAGGTAAGTGTACACCGGAGTGCTCTATAATTAAGAGAAGTCAAGGGGGATCTTTCGTCTACATTTAATACTTTAATGTTCTTGTGACTTGTACACCCCAATTATTTTTTTTTTACCGTTTTATTGTTGGTACGCTCCAATTTAAGGAAACAGAATTTTTGTGACTATTATTATGTAAACTTCAATTTTAAATGTTATGTGAACTCAACTGATTTGTTTTTTGTCACAGGATGTAGTATTTTAATGTTTAGCAGTTTCCTTTGGACAAAATATGAAACTATGTACACTTTGTGCAGGTCTCCCTCGTTTAGAGTTAATTCACTTAAAGTTTAGCAATAAAAAAAATTAACACCCTTTCTCACTTAATGTTAGGTCAAAATTAGGTTTAGCGACAGCTTAGCTCACTGGGAAAGGAAAAAATCTAGGAATGAGGTGGCCTGTTGCCATTGTTACAGGTAATTAAACTATAAGAGTTGTGGAAAATACATTACAATGCTCTAATGTGGCTTAGATATCAAGAAAATATAATATAAAGTATAAAATAATAAAAATGAAATGCATGGGTGTGTATGTGTGCATGAAGTGAATATACTGTACAGTATGTATGGGGTAGCGGGATGTAACTGCATCGCCGACTTGCCAGCCATCGCCCCCCTCCCCGACGTGATGTTAAGGCACACACACACACACAAGGGATGGCTTGAGTGTGGAAGGAACTATTTTTTGGTACATTAAATATGTCCTGATATATTTTATAAGGTATGTATCAATTTTATTATATATCATTTCATTTATTTTTAAATTTTTGACATACAATTTGATTTTGTTTAAATTAGGCTAACTTTGTGCTCACTAAATCGTTTAATTCTGAAACAAATCGTTTATATAAAAGTTTAGTGTTAATAGATCGGTCATTTAATTTTGTAACCGTTTATAGCAAACTCATTATTATTATTATTATTATTATTATTATTATTATTATTATTATTATTATCAATAGGGACTAAGGTACTGTACTATACTCGGTGTTTACACCCTACTGTTTGAACCTGTTGTTCACTCTCCATGCTTTGCTATTATCCCTTAATGTTAGGTTTTTAGGAACACAACCCGGTTGTTAAATGAGGTATACCTGTATTGTGTCTTCCTTATTTTTTTTAATAAGAACATAAGAAAATAAGGAGCCTGCAATAGGCCGGTTGGCCTGTGCATGGCAGCTCCTGTCGAGAATTACTACCACTCTCTATCATCCATGAATCTATCTAGCCTCCTTTTGAAACTTTCCAGAGTTCCCACACTTACTACAAAGTTGCTAAGCTTGTTCCACTCGTCCACCACCCTATTTGTGAACCAGTTTCTTCCTATCTCCCTCCTAAATCTAAACTTATCCAACTTGAATCCGTTGCTCCGAGTCCTATCCTGCTCGGATATTATAAGAACTTTATCTATATCCCCTTTATTGATTCCTTTCACCCACTTAAATACTTCTATCATATCTCCCCGCACTCTTCGTCTTTCTAGGGAATGCAAGTTAAGTTTCTTTAACCTATCCTGATATGGAAGGTTTCTAAGTCCCGGAATCATTTTTGTCATTCTTCGCTGCACCGACTCTAGTGAATTTATATCCATTCTATAATAGGGGCACCAGAACTGAACCGCATAATCGAGGTGCGGCCTAACTAGCGCAAGATATAGTTGCAATAAGACCTCTGCACTCTTGTTACTTACACTTCTAGATATAAAACCCAATACTCTGTTTGCCTTATTTCGAACATTAACGCACTGTTTTCTAGGCCGTAGGTCCGGGCTTACAAGTACCCCTAGGTCTCTTTCACAAGTCGACTTCTCTAGGTTGATGTTGTTAAGGCTGTATACATTATAAGTATTTGTTCTTCCAATATTAAGTACGCTGCACTTGCTGGTGTTGAATTTCATTTGCCATTTTTCAGAACACCCCTACAGTTTATTTAGATCCTCCTGTAATGCATTTGCATCCTGCCCTGAATTAATTTGCCGCCCTATTTTGGTGTCATCCGCAAACTTGCTTATGTCACTGCTGATCCCAGTATCTAAATCGTTTATGTAGATTATGAACAAGAGTGGGCCTAGTACTGATCCCTAGGGAACCCCACTGGTTACACGGCCCCACTCAGATTTAACACCATCTACGCTGACCGTCTGCGTTCTATCGGTGAGCCATGATTTTATCCAATTTAAAACTTTCCCCTCGATACCACGAGCCTTAATTTTTCTCAGAAGCCTCTGATGCGGTACTCTGTCAAATGCTTTGCTAAAGTCTAAGTAAATAACATCGTAATTTTCGTCATTATCTACTACCTCGAAGACTTTCCTAAAAAACGTTAGCAGATTTGTTAGACAAGATTTTCCCTTTGTAAACCCATGTTGAGAGTCGTAGATTAATTTGCTTTTCTCTAGATGCGATCGGATGCTATCTGCTATACAGTAATTGATTCAAGAAATTACCCCACTACTGACGTCAAACTGATCGGCCGGTAATTTGACGCTGATGCTCTCTCTCCCTTTTTGAATATGGGTACTACATTTGCCTGTTTCCACAAGTCTGGCACAACTCCAGTGTCTAATGATTTTGTAAATAAGTTTGCGAGGGGTCCGCTAATCTGTTCCCTACACTCTTTTAAGACTCGAGGGAAAATTTCATCCGGCCCTGGGGATTTTGTATTCTTTAGTTTATTTATCTTCTTAAGAACATCCTCTTTTCTGATAGTGTTATTCTTTAATTTCTCTTCTTCCTTTCCCTTAAATATCAGTTCCACCTCCGGAATTTCATCTCAAATTTCTTCTGTGAAAACTGATAAGAAGTAGCTGTTCAATGCTTTGCTTATTTCTTCACTGCCATTTATCAATTCTCCCCTCCCTGACTTTAAAGGCCCAACTTTGTCCTTGACCTTTGTCCTATATACCTGGAAAAATCCCTTGGGATTCGCCTTGGATTCTCTTGCTATTTTGATTTCATAGTCTCTCTTTGCTTTCCTTACATTTTTCTTAACATTCCTAGATAGTTCATTATACCTGTTTCTGAGCTGCTCCTCCCCTCCCTTTAATTTCTTATATATTCCTTTCTTTATTCCTATGTCATGTTTAAGTTTTCTGGTCATCCACCTTGGCTCATTCTTATTTGACCTAATTTTTCTGTGTGGTATATTTTGTTCTTGTGCTTTATGTAGTATACTAGTGAATATATTATAGTCATGATCAATTGTTGTGTCATCTATGACGTCACCCCTTCCTACTGGGAACTGACGTGACTGTTCCCAGGTGACCTCACCTAGGTACCTTCTTAACCCCTGATAATCCGCCAACCGAAAGTTTGGGACTCTGCCCATATTGTCATTGTTTTTCGTTTCCCAATTTAGGGTGAACCTGATTTCTCTGTGATCACAGTTACCTAGTTCTTCCCCTACTGTGATATCTCTGATAATATTTTCTTTATTTGTTAATACTAGGTCTAATATATTGTCACCTCTAGTAGGTTCTGTAATTAGTTGTTTCAAAAAATTGTCCTGTACTGCGTCTAGGAAGTCTTCAGATTCATAGTCGCCTACAATGTTGTCCCAGTCAATATTTCTGAAGTTGAAATCCCCCATAATGCATAGGTTGTTATATTTTGCTGCCCTACTCATTTCCTGCCATATGGGCTGAGCTGCTTCTTTGCCAAGACTTGGGGGCCTGTAAATCACTCCCATAATTAGTTTTTCTCTTCCTTCCGTGATTTCTACCCACACAGACTCGGTTCCTATTTCACCCTTTATTGAATTATTAGTACAACATTTTAATGTATCCTTGACGAAGAGTGCGACCCCTCCCCCCTTCCTACCTTCCCTGTCCTTGTGAAAAAGGTTGTACCCTTCTATGTGGTACTCTGATAAAAAAATTTTGCTCGCCAGATTCATCCAAGTTTCGGTGATTGCTATGACGTCTACATTCTCGGTACATACAACCGCTCTCAGCAAGTCTATTTTATTTCTAACGCTCCTACTGTTTGTATAGTATACATTTAAACCTACTCTTCCCTGGTCCTGTTTTACCCCTTGTCCTGAGCAGCTAATTTTACTTCCCAAGACCTGCTTGTTTTTTTACTCCCACTTTCCCCGAAACCCCCCCTTCGGAGTGACAATTTCACGCTCCAGGGATGCAGACAACGTCTTTACCCCCTCACGAGACAAGTGTACTCCGTCGCGACAGTACTGGTAGTCGTTGCCATGGAATCGTTGCCAGTTATCAATGAATGCCCAACCATTGTTTGCACAATGTTTTTCCAGTCGGCAATTTATAGCAATTGCCCTGGACAGCCATTCACGACCAACCCCTCTTCTAGGCAAGACACCACATACTATCGGGATTCCTCCCCTATCTCTAATATTCCCCAGCGCCTCCCTATACCTCTTGAAAAGTTCCTCACTCCTAACCTTACCTATGTCGTTTCCTCCCACACTAAGACACACTACTGGATTGGTACCCTCCCCTGGCAAAACCCTGTCTAACCTCTCGGCTACATGCCCTATCCCAGCCCCAGGAAAACACACCCTAGTCCTACGTTTCCTATCTCTCGCACAAAAAGCCCTATCCATAAACCTCACCTGGCTGTCACCAACTACCACGACCTTACCTGTGGGCAGGGTTTGTACAACTGCCCTTTCCTCTCCTTGATCCATACCGTCCTGCCTCTTCTCTTCCTCGCCAGCTTCCTGCAGCACCTGGTAGGGTTACTACACTCCACACCCTGGTCAGCTTTCCTGAGCCTGACCCTAGTCCCCTTGGAGACAACCACTCTCCACGCCTGCTCCTCCTTCGCAGGTGTCCTGCTAGGCAGGACACCTACCTGAAGGAGTTCCGTCCTGAGGGCTTCGTTTTCCCCCTTTAGAGTGTCAACCTCACTCCTCAACTGCCCCAGCTGCCTTAACAGAGTGGCAAGGAGGTCGTCTTTCCCCACACTCCCCTCCTCTTCCCCCACGACACAACGA